TAATACATAACTCAGTTGCCTAAATAAAAACAAACAACCACACACACACATACACACACATCGCACACTTATAGGCCCTCGGGCATGCATAAAAGCACGCACAAGCGGGAGAGGCGAAAATTAGAGTTATTCAAGACGCTTCAAGAAGAAAGGGAATCGTGGTGAGATCACTTTATGACCCAGAAATCAAGAGACTTTCTCAAACATTTGGGCGTGAATGACGACAGATCAAAACGGTTGACAAGATGCATCTTCTCTTGTATGAATGAAGAACAGTACATACAATCTTGTGTGAGTAGGGCAGGTTGACTGCCCACATTTTCTGTTGCGGTATAGTCTGAGCCCCACTCGACAGACCTAGACAATCGAGGTAGGCAGAAGTATGAATGCGTAATGGCATGAGGTGACAGAACAAAAAAAAATGCATATCGAAGACCAAATATGGCGGCAAATAGTTTTAGATTTCTGGCCAACTATGCACGCATGAAATGCAAGCAGGCTCTTCTTCTGTTGAGCTGGCAAAATGCTGTTCTGAACTGGGGCTGGGTTTAGCACAACTAGAAATCTGAGAATATATATAAACATATACACACACACACATATATATATATATATATATATTAGCACAATTTGTTCCGAAAAACGAGCTCTTCAAAGTTCAGTCTTACAAAAGCCCTATATATGTATATATGTGTGTGTGAATAGTAGATGAAGTAGGCTATTCAAGGTTGTGGCAATACGTTGGGGTATGTAGATGGCCAGGTTAGTTGGCGCATAGAAGAGTTGGGCAAGAATGAGAGAGTGAAATGGTGAAAAGAGGGAGATGGAGAAGAAAGGGGAATAAAGATAACCGTCAATTGAACTTCGACGCGTCACTGGGCTCTGCAGAAAGGAAAGCGTAAGATCACCGGCTGGGTCCCTTTTACAGGAAGCAGGTTTCGTGTGTAGTGGTAGATCATAGCTGGCACCGAGGCATAAGGCTGGCTGAACTCTCCCAAAATGTATTGAGCCAGCTTTGGGTCTCGGCTGATCTTCATGTGGAGAAAGTCGTGCTCCCGCCTGTCGGGAAGAAGAGAACAGATGGAAGGAGTGATTGTGTGCGGCAAAAGCCGAAGTTAGGCTACCGAGAACCAGAGTGAGGGAGTCAACTTTTGGAACGTACCAGTCAGCGATATGCCATGTGGCAACAGGCTTCAGGTACCAAAGTCTACTTAGTAGAAATGAGTATTAACTGGGTTTCGATGAATCTCCTGAGATAACATTATCGCCGGAACGTTCAATTCATATGAAAGTGTATGAAGAAGAGATTCGAAGGTCGATTTCACCAGAAGAGGACGATTGAATCGCGTTGTACTGCAGCTGTTGATGCAGTCCACGAGATCTCCTCCTTCGTTTTGTGTGAAAACTGGTTGAGCTATCGTTCATCATATGATGGACATCATCAGAGCCGGAACTCATTTTTGTAAAATTGTCAGTTTTCACCGAAAAAAGGGAGGAGGTTTCGTGGACTGGGTCAAGCTCAACGTCGTATAAAAGCCAACGAGGTTCAACCGTTCTCTTCTGGTGAAATCGACATTCGAATCTTTTTTTTCATACACCTTCATTGGAAATGAAAGTCCGAGCACTAAGTCTACATAATCGCTACACCCCAATTCTACGGTATTATAGAGAATATACAAGTAAAGCGTTTGTTTGGACTCGTTTTCGCAGGCTACTGCATTCTCTAGCAATGCCATCATGTGTTCTACCAGCGGAGTTCAGAAATGGTAGATCAAGAGAATCCTCGAAACCCAACTTTCTATATATTTCGAAAGTATGCTATTCTTTTATACGAAGTGAAATCTAGAAAACCTACTTATCTTTAGAAAATATTATTCTTATGTTATGTCACTTTGAACAGTTGTAACTTTGGGCTAAGGATGGTCCCTCTCAGTGTCGATGCCGGCGAAGCATCTGAGAATGAATGTACCAAGTCAATGATTCAGAAATGGTAGACCAAGAGAATCCTCGAAACCCAACTTTGTATATACTAAGAAAGTATGCTATTCTTATATATGAAGTGAAGTATAGAAAACCTACTTATTTAAAAAAATACTATTCTTATGTTATGTCACTTTGAACAGTTGTACCTTTGGGCTAAGGATGGTCCCTCTCAGTGTCGATGCCGGCGAAGTGTCTGAGAATGAATGTACTAAGTCAATGGTTTGATGCTGGAAACCACGGACACTTTGGCAGAGCACGCAGGATTAGGTACGTTCTACAAAGTCTCCCTGTCGCACCGACCAAGTTTCGAAAACGAGGTCCTGC